TTAATGGAGCTAATAGATTGCTTGAATTAATATCCACTTGTTATGAAACTTTGATTTAATGTAAAAATTTCAACCTAAAGTCCCTCTTTATTCTTTTTTTTTTTTTTTTTTTAAAAAAAAAAAACCTTTTGTTTGGTTTAGTAGTTAATAATAGATATATCGAATGGGATTACAAATAACCAAATACGTAATTATTCATTAATCAAGAAAATAGATATATATTATAGCAATATTTTGTAAGAAAATAGTATAGGACAGATCTTTTTAAAAAAGTTTATTGAAAACTTGTCTAAAATTTTATTTTTTAATTAATATTTTTAAAAATTTATCATTATATTAAAATTTTATTTATTTAGGTTATATATTTCAATTTTTATATTGATTTAACTCATAGAATTCTTTAATGAAAAAAATTATTTATTAATATATATTGAATAATTTTAAATTTTTATAATTAATAAAATTATTAAATCTACTAAAACAATTTAAAAATTAAAATACCTAATTTATATAAATTAAACTTTTAGTTTAATAATTGATTTTTAAAAATATTAATTAAAAAATAAATTCTTAAACAAGACGTTCTAAAAATATTTAAGAGGCGAATATGCAAAATATTTATTTTTTAATTAAGTGAATAACAGTATTAAAATTATTATAGCTAATAATTATTGAGGAGTATATGCCATGCAGCTGACCTAGCTCTATTGCCCATCACCCAAACAAGTGATTGAAAACAACAGAATTGTATGAAGAAGAAAAATCATATCTCTTGCCTAATCATATATAAATAAAGGGGTTATGAATCACCAAATACAATTTTAAAATCTTCTCACCTCAAAGGAAAAGGAATCCTATTCTATGTTAGTAAGATAATGTATGATATCTCATACTCCTAAAAATGAAGATAATGGAAGGTATATGATAGACTATAACTCTACTTGATTCCTCCCCTTTTCCGTTTTTGAGAAATCTGCAAACCAAATAGGTTCTTAATTCCTAGAATCATGTTACATTTACCATTATTTTAACTTATGTTGCAAGGTTGAAAGAGGGGTATGGAGTGATTAATCGAATTATTAACAAAAAAAAGTACTTTAATTAGGATTTAAACTCTTATTTCTCCTTTTTTTTATCTTCTCTTTAGGGAGGTTTTAACTAATTGACTTGTCATATTGAAAAAAAAAAAAAAAAACCCTCATATTGCATGGTTCAAGTTTATGAGCAGCGTTTCAAAATGATACTTGGAATCAATAATGCGAAACACATGAATGTGATAGGTTAGGTGGTGGGAGGGCCTCCCTGTGTTGTGTTTAATCCACATAACGGCACATGAGGCTGCCTCATTGCCCCCATCTGACCCACATCAAAATTGAAAAGTAAACCTCTCTCGATCTTTTGTTACTTTCTTCACGGCTCAACTCAATCTTTGTGATGCACATGCAGATCACGTATAGTAGTTGGGATTTTTAGGAGATAAGAGGTGACCATCCAATCTATCTACGATTTATCATAGGGTACAATAATGGACGAATTTGAGTATGCATGTTATCTTTTAAAAACTCAAGGTCCTTTAATTGAATAATAATTGTTAGGGAACAAATTTTAAGATTAATTTTTGAAAATCATTGCTTATAGTATGGGTTTTTATATAAACTCATATTAATAATTGATTAAGAAAATACTGTGATGTGAGTTTTATTCTTAAAGTATCTAATCATGCTTTTGTGCTAAGCCTTTATATACGTACTCTAGCACTATTAATTTTGTAATGGATTGAAATACTCTTTATATTCCATTTTGGTAATATAATTATCTTTGCAAATAAAAAAAAAAAAAACTCATATTATTGATTGTTAAAATAATTTTGTTTTAAAATTTTGTCCTAAATTTTAGTCTCAAGAATCATTAGCTTTTCTTAATTTCACTTGACCAAAACCTATGGATGAGACTGGGCGACTTATCACCCTTCAAAATCAATGACAAACATAGAAGAAAATTTGGATGGAATCCTATAACAACTCAAATTGGAAACCTCTAATCTGTTAAGTTGAAATATGGATACATTGAGATGGACCACACCTAAGCTTGATAAGGTTTGTGGAGGTTATTTTCCTTGCATACTTTCTTTTTTAATTTAATACATTTAGAGCATTTTCAAATTAACTTGATTGATTTCTTTTTAATTTAATAAAAGATAAATCATTCATATCAACATCACAAAATTCATAAAAAATTATCTCTTTGAATAGTTCACTATCATATAAAAAGAACTAATTAGGGGTGGTTTAGATGGAGGGGGTGTCAATGAAATGCTCTTGCATGTCTTTTTATGGAGCATATATGGTTTCAGTTAGATAGGGACATAAAGGAATGGTGATAATGCGACAACATATTGTATGGATGTTTCTCTGCCAATCTAATTCTCCAGATAATTGATTTCTCTCTTTTTGGCCACTTCTCTCTGTGCCTATCTTCCTTTCTTTCTCAATAAAGTTGTGATGATTAATGTATCTTCATTTTCACTAGATAAAGTGAAAATTGAGAACACCAAAAATATACCATGAATTCAGCTTGTTCCTATCTTGATTCGTATCTATCTTGAAACTCATAATTGTAACCTTGTAGTTGGTAAACAGATTGTACACATAGGGGGACCAAGTCAATCAAATTCATCTATATATTTTGGTACACTTCTGTCAATCGGAGCAAATCAATCACCCAATAAAATTACAAAACAAATGAGACTGTGGTTGGCTAAACTATCACCTGACAAAAATCAAATATAAGACTTAAGTATCTAATCATCCACCTTAACCATCTAGTTGAAGTTTCATTAATAATTTGCTTAATGATTTTAGAATGGAAAATTCAAAATTTCTCAATTAGGGGTCTACACTCTCCTTCTTTTTAAGTTCATTTAATTTTCAAGTCAGATAAGTTAGATCAAAATAGGTCACAAGTTAAGCTCTTTTATTTATAATCCATTTTATGCAAATAAGTTGATTTGGATGAAGTTAGTAAGTTTATAGGTGATATGAACCTAGATAGACCCATACTGCAAAAAATGTGACAAACCCTTGTGGGTTAGTCCTTGGACCTAAGAAATGCCAATTTATCTCTCTTCTAAATAAATTTTAAACGTTTTAAGCTCAGACTTCAGTTTCCAAGTTAATGGGGATGACAATGTCACAATGACAAGTTCTTATTTCCCCAAAGAAACAATAGGACAATGTGAAAGTTTGGCTTCCACAACGTGCAAAGCGGGATGACAATGGGTGCTCTCAGAGGTAGAGTTATCTTGCCTCAAGAACTACTCCACTTGGATGAAAATGAAAGTTGGTTGAGGCAATCAATATGTACAAAACATTGGAAAAGAAAGGAGGTAATAATAATCAGATACTGAAAAACATAGGCCCCAACTGCAGCAATCTGTAATGGCAATTTAAAAGTTAGGACAGACCAACAGGGAAAAATTGGTATCAAAATCAAATCAATGGTCCCCCAACTACATTATTCTTCATGGGTTTTTTCCTCCATCCCTTGAAATCATTGTGGTAGCATGACTCACGGGATAGAACCAGAATAACCTGTTTAAGAATTTTACTGCTGTTCTGTCACCATCTTCTAATGACCCGTCTTATAACCTGGTCCTTTTTTACTATGTACTGTCCTGCTTTAAATTTTTCTTTTCTCATTGGTCATTCAACAAACAATAGTTCACCAAGCATTTTGAATCTCTTTCCTAAGTTACCTCATTGATGACAGGTTTAATTCCTGAAAAAATCCCAGCCCATACCATAAATTGTCTTTGATAGATTGAAAAGGTATAATTTGAACTATATCAGACTGTGTAACATAAATAAATAGATACATTTCATGAATGCATGGGTTGTCCAGATTGCAAAACAAGACTCATGATGTATGATCATTTTGTGAAACACTTCCACCATAACCCTGTCAAGACAAGTGATAATCTAATCTTTAAATGTGATAAAGGGGTTTCTGTTTTCCTGCAGTTTTCCTACAGGCAAACAGACCCTACCTAAATGTGACAGCCAAACAACTTAGAGCAACCATGGATGGGTGCACCTAATTGTCTGTTCACAACGCTGAATGGATAACAGTTCACATGATTTGGGAACAAGAGTCCAATAGTAGAGAGTCCAGAGATGTGGGCCTAATATCCGTGTCTCCTAATTGGGCCTGGATGTCAGACAAACAGGCTAAGCCCTCAACTTTATTACTCTCAACTAGAGAAAAACATTTTTACAAGTTGCAATTAATAATTGAAATTTTGCCTAAAAGGTGTGAAGAATTTGAAATTATAGATTTTAAATTTAAATCGAGTAAAGTGGAAAGGGATTTGAAAATAAAAAAGGAAAAAAGAAGGCTATTCCTTTTTATATAATGCATTATCAAATATAAAAAAAAAAATTAATTGTAAAAATTTTAAGTTGCTGTTCTTATTTATCAAGCTTTACCTACATATTATACAAATAGTTAAGCCCAAAAATTTATTATATCTCAACTGGAGAAAACAACTCTTGAAATTAATGAAGTCAAATAGCCAAATAGGAGTCGCCCTTTTGTTATAGGGGTTGGATATATAAGAGCCTCTTACCCCATCCAAAGGTTAAAGAAAAGGATTACAGTTTTGTGGGGTTTGACTTGATTGAATTACACAAAATGTATCTGTTTGTAAAATTTAAATTAGAAAGGGAATCAATATATGTATATATATAGTATCAAATTAAAACAGGCAAAAGACCCCATTCAACGAGTTAATCTTGAGAAGAGTTACATCATAGCAACCTAGCAAGTGCCTACAAGCCTTTAGAAAGAGTTTGCCTTTTTGTTTTTCACCTATTCCTAATCTCTTTTTAGACAATTTAAGCACAGATTTTCCATATAGGCTAATGCCTCTTAAAAATTAGTTATCTCATACCTTAACAAAATGATAAGTACATTAATTTTTTTTTAATGAGACAAGTTAACTGATTAAATTTTTTTTTTTTAAAAAAAGAAATATAACAAAACAAAAAATTTAAACTTTAATTATACAAGTGAATAAACACCTTTACACTAATAATTTAACCAATTACTCTACTGAACTTCTTCATGCATCCAACCTTTTAAACCTAACATCAAGACCATAAAATAGAACCATCCATACCTCACTATTAACGTTAGTCCTCTAGGTATCATATTTATAAATTTTTTCTTAAATAGTTAAGTATAATATTTAAATATATATTTATAAATTAATTTTAATTTATTAAATAATAAATACTAATTATTCTATTGATTATCAACTTTTTTAACAATTAAATTAAGGAAAAAAAAAATTTTTCTGAACCTTTTTGGCGTTCTTAACCAAAGTTATGGTGGCCATAGTCGTCCTCTTAAGCAAGACGGCGTGGGGAAAGTTAAAAGTTATACTTATAAATATAATAGCCAGAGAACACCTCAAAATTTCGCTTTAACAGTTGTGGACTCGCTTCCCAATCTGATCAGGAATTAGGGTTTTTTTCGTTTTTTTCAGGAATTAGGGCTTTAGATTTTTAAAACCTAACAAGACTCGGTTTTTTTTTGTTTTATCGAGGCTGATCTGGTTAATCTTCATCCTGCATCAATGGCTTCCAGCAACAATGTAAGTATAAAATTTCTGAGATTATCTTTTCTGGGATTGTATTTACTTTGTAATTTTGATTTTCTGTTTTTTGTTCGCAGACCGTTGGCGTCGATAATACTTTCAGGAAAAAATTCGACCGCGAAGAGTACTTACAACGAGCTCGGGAGCGTGAAAAACAGGTTTTCACCTTTTCAGTTTTTTGTTTTTTGTATTGTTGATTAACATATTCTGCTGATTATGTTAGATTTGGTGTTAAAATTGAAACCCAGGAATCAGAAGGGCGGTTTAAATCCAAGTGTAAGTAGATTATTTTTTATTAGTAATTTAGAGTAGAACCAAAGTAGATGGAATTGTACTGTGAATTCAGAGCGTCATTTTTTGATGCAGCAAAAGGTCCGCCGGTGCAGAGGAAACCGTTGAAGCAGAGGGATTATGAAGTTGATCTCGAGTCTCGATTGGGGAAAACACAGGTTAGTTTGGTTGCTGGATTAATATCAATCAAATCTATGTTCAACTCAAATATGTTTATTGGGTATGTTTTTAATAATATTTTTGGGTATTTTTCAGGTTGTTACTCCAGTAGCACCTTTAAGTCAACAGGTACCATCCCTCCACTTATGCTCTAATTGTAGTTTCAATGCACTGTATGTCTTGTGCTGTTCAGGGAACCCTAGAATTTTATTATCAGTTATGTTCTAAAACAATCTTCAAAATTTATTGTTGTGCAAAATGAAAAACTGATACTAAACTGCAATTCTTCAATTTTTAGAATTGGTTATTTTACTGAAGCAAAAATTACCTAACTAAAAAGCAGGGGGTGTGAAAACCATGCTGTACAAGCTTGGTGTTAAGGTTCCTAAATCCCCTCATATATGTTTCTTTTTTTTAGAGTTCTCTTGAAACCTTATTTTTTGTTTATTTGGATGAGACAATGAGGTATAGTGCACATTTTGTACCATTTGTATTATTGTGTGGCTTTAACTAGAGAATCGCATAATGTATTGTTTATGGTGTTTGATTTGGCTGGATTATATATTTGTGTGGTATAGACTTCATTTTAGAGGATAGTTTAGTATGGTGATTCTTGTTCAGTTTTAGCTCATAGGATGTACATTATTTCCTAACCTTTGATATCTGAAACACTCTGTTTTTTTGTAAATGCATAATTGGGTGAATAAAAAAAAAGGGTTGGGGGGGGGGGGTGTTTGGGGGCACCAACTTAAAGAGCAAAATCATCAGAGACTGATTTATAAACTAGACTTAGCTTGAGCTCACCCATTGAATGTGATTCCAATGTACCATTATGCTAACTATTGGTTATTATCATTCTGAGGCTTTTGCAGCATATCCTAATAAAAAAATCTGGTACATTTGCTGAGGTGATGAATCTGCTTGTCATATTCATGAAAGAAAACTAGAAAATATAATTACAGCATGGGATGTTGGTGAAAATAGCAGGCATGTTGCTCCTTGTTTGCTTGGAGCCATTATACATTAGGCTTAAGTTCATTTCATTTCAGTAATGTTAAACTTGGGGTTTTCATTCATTTGATTAATTTTAAACTTGTGCCATTTGCTTTATTCAATAAGTGGTGGGTATGGTACTCAAATGGGTTTTTTGCAGGCTGGATACTACTGTTCAGTTTGTGAATGTGTCGTGAAGGATTCTGCCAACTACTTGGATCATATCAATGGAAAGAAACGTAAGTAGTGTTTCAGAGACTTGTTTATATCAAGTTAGGGACCCATTTTGCTAATATAGTCCCTTTGCTGTTGTTTGTTAGATCAAAGAGCACTGGGTATGTCTATGCGGGTTGAACGGGCAACGTTAGAGCAGGTACATGTTGAGATATACTGTAGTATTTGTTACATGTCAATGAAGCTTAATTGGTTTGAGTAGAGAATTGATTGTAAACCCCTTGGGTTTAGAACAGCTGTTTGTTCCTTTCTCTTGTATTAAATTATAACAGTGCAGACTCAGAAACTTACAAATATTGACTGGAAAACATGACATGGTTACGATAATTACAATAGTTTAGTTACTAATAAATATAGGAAAGGAGGCATTTAAATATATAATTAGCTACACAGAAAACCCAGTGTCCCTCAGGAAAACACTCTCCATCACAAGATATCATATGAAATTACCACAGGACTAGGTAAAATGTACTTCAACGTTCTAAAGTTTACATAAATACTCGCTTGAACTACAGTTTCCTTTTATGATGGATGCAGGTCCAGGAGCGATTTGAAAAATTAAAAAAGCGGAAAGCACCTGGCAGCTTCTCAGAGCAAGGTAATTATTGATGCTTTTATCAGTTGGAATTAAGGCTTGGCTAAGTTGTGTCTTCTAATATCTTTGTTCTTAATTGTCCTCAGATCTAGATGAACGCATTATGAAACAGCAGGAAGAAGAAGAAGAACGAAAGCGCCAACGGCGAGAAAGAAAGAAAGAGAAGAAGGTAAGTACCATTGGATTCAAGACCAATATAGACATGCCTACTCATTAGATTTGGTGATCAGTTGGCACTAGGCAATGAAGCATAATTGATAATACTTAAAATTGTTTTCTTTGCCCACTTTCTAATCCTTAAAATGGATTTATGTTATTAGACTATGATTGTTGATTTACATCTTTTTTCAGAAAGAGAAGGCAGCAGAAGAGGAACCTGAAATTGATCCGGAAGTTGCAGCTATGATGGGATTTGGGGGTTTTGGTTCATCCAAAAAATGATCATGCCTTTTCAGGCAATCCCATTGTTCTTGAATGCCTAATTATTTCTCAAAATGGGTATCTCAGATTGGAGGATGTAACTTATTTCTGTAATGTCTCCTATACAGATCATGTAGGAGGAAAAATTGATAAACATGCATGTTTCCCAAACTTTCCGTTAGACAATAGCCATGTCATACTCTTTTGTCCTACCAAAAAAGAAGGTTGCCTCTTGGAAGTTTTAGGTTTACTGGAGTTCTCTATTTTGCGGTGGGAAATGTAAACTCAAATTATTAGACGAGTAGCTCTCAATTTAAGAAGTTGACCTTTATTTATTGGTTTTTAATGTGTAGTGTGGTGCTGTTAAAATTATACAATATTCTTTTGATTCTTGAGAATCTAAGGGCATGTTGGGTGAAATTTTTACCAGTTTTAGTTTTTTTATATTATTTATGTTTTATAAAATTAATTTTTTAAAAAAAAATTATATTTTTTTAATTTTAAAAAGATTTTAAATAGTAAAATTTTGAAAAATTTTAAATTTGTATTTTTTATAGATTTTTTTACTCATTTTTTTATTTTTAAAAGTAATTTTTAAATATTTTTAATAAAAATTTAAATTTATTATTCATAAATAATATTAAAAAAAAATAAAATTCTTATAAGTTTCATCGAACATATTCTAATACTCTCTTTGTATGTGCCAATTAATCATCAACATCTTTTATCAACAAACAAATCCATGCAACTATATTTTTCACCCCATGAGATGCTTGAAACTCGTGAGATTATGTTGCCCATGAACATTGTCAATGGATCAAGTTCTGCTTTTTAGTTGTTAATAATTTAGTTTGGATTTTGAAATTATTAAAATATTATTAATTAGTTAAAATTTTAATATTTAAAAGGCACAAAAAGGTGAAGTCTGTATTAAAAAAAAATGCATATTTAATTCCCGCTAAATTCATCCAAGCTTTCATATTCTAGTTATTTAAATGCGTTCCTCTGTATTAGAGTTTCCTTGCAGTGATCTGAAGAAATGAGGACGAATAGAGTTTGCTCCATGGAGGTCGAGCGCAAGATACTGAGCCTCCTTCACGGCCATAAAACCCGTAAACAACTTCCGGAAATCCACGCCCATTTCCTCCGCCAGGGCCTTCATCAATCCAACCAAATTCTCTCTCACTTCGTCTCAGTATGCGGTCATCTCAACAGAATGGAATATGCGAATCGTGTTTTTTGCCAGACCCAGAATCCCAATATCTTGCTTTTCAACTCCATGATCAAAGGGTACTCCCGTAATGGTCCCTATGAGGAGTCTCTTTCTCTGTTTTATTTGATGAAGAACCGTGGCATTTGGCCCGATGAATACACATTGGCGCCTCTGCTTAAGGCCTGCACTAGTCTTGGTGATTTCAGGCCTGGGCAACGTGTTCACGGGGAGATTGTTAGAGTTGGGTTTGAGAGTTTCAGCGCTGTTGGAATTGGGGTTGTTGAGTTGTACTGTTCTTGTGGGAGGATGGAGGATGCAAAGAAGGTGTTCGATGAAAGGTCTGATAGGGATGTAATCATTTGGAACTTGATGATTCGTGGGTTCTGCAATTTAGGGAATGTTGATACCGGGTTACATCTGTTTAGGCAGATGAGTGAACGAAATATTGTTTCATGGAATTCGATGATTTCATGCTTGGCTCAAAGTAGGAAGGACAGTGAAGCTTTAGCACTCTTTCATGAAATGCTAGAGCAGGGTTTTAAACCAGATGAGGCTACAATAGTAACAGTGTTGCCTATTTGTTCTCGTTTGGGTGCTGTTGATGTTGGGGAGTGGATTCACTCCTATGCTGAATCAATTGGGCTCTGTCAAAGTGTAGTCTCTGTGGGAAATGCATTGGTGGATTATCATAGTAAGTGTGGAAACTCGGAAACTTCTATCAAACTTTTCAATGAAATGCCTGTTAGAAATGTTATTTCTTGGAATTCCATGATTTTGGGTCTGGCTTTTAATGGAAAGGGTGAACTTGGAGTGGAGTTCTTCAAGGAGATGATGGACAAAGGTGAAAGCCCTAATGATGCAACTTATCTAGCAGCCCTAACATGTTGTGCTCATGCAGGATTAGTGGAAAAAGGACAGGAATTGTTTGCTTTGATGAGTGAAAATCGTCATGTTGATCTAAAACTCGAGCATTATGGATGCATGGTTGATCTCCTTGCACGTAGTGGATATGTTAGAATGGCTTATGACTTGATCAGAAGCATGCCTTTTAGGCCAAATGCTACTTTATGGGGTACATTGCTTAGTTCTTGCCGTACTCATGGTGATGTAGAGCTTGCAGAGCTAGCTGCCAAAGAGCTTATCAATCTTGAACCATTGAATTCTGGTAATTATGTGTTGCTTTCAAATATCTATGCAGAAGAAGGAAAATGGGATGAAGTAGAGAAGGTGCGGGTGTTGATGAGAATGAAGAGTGTCAAGAAGGCACCAGGACAGAGTGCAATGGGATGATTTTGCTATGCTGGGGTCTACTGTGGTATATTTTTGTCTTGGGACTCTTGTACAAATCTCAGTGATGAATTAGTTCTCCAGTAGGTTTGATTCTTGCAAACACAAATGACAAGTTGATGGAATTTATACTATTGGTGAGAGTTCTGCAAAAATTAGAAGGGACTGGTCCAACCGGAAGATAAAGTGCAGTATATCTGATGATAAGTGAAAATTTATGCAGGTCAACTTCTCTGGAATATAGTAGATATATTTAAACAGTACTTTCAGCATCTAGTTAATCCTAACGAGTTTTAGGCAAAGGCTGACACAGGGAAAAAGTGATCTGCAATCAGAATTTATTACAGAGAATACAATCTTCTGGGCCAAGAAAACCAGACCTTTGTGGGTTCCTGCACTGACATGGTACATTGTGCTCAATTTTATTGGACTCGTATCTCTGGGAACGTTCCTGAAACAGATTGTGAACAGGAATGAATGAGAAGAAACATCAACAGTCTCAAACAATACCATAAATTGGTACTCTTCTATGCCCAACTTCATCTCACCATTACATATCCATTCAACTTTCAACGTTTTGATTTTAGTTCTTTTTCTGGTTTTTGAAGAATGGGCAGAAAATGGTAAGAAAGAGTTGCTGTGGATATAGCAGTGCCACAACGGCAAAGGAGTCTGTGTCGCCCACCAAAAAGGAAGAAGATGAGAAACGAGACATTAAGAATGCACTCTGGCCGTTTCCAGTGCCACAGATGTCCTTGAAACTTGAAAGGCGGAGGAGAAGGAGCCAGTGACAGTCAAGAAGGAACCTGTGAAGGTTTATTCCGGGTGTGGTGGATGTAGTTCTTAAGTAATATCTGAATGTGGAGTCTATAACCGGGCTAGGAAGGGCTTTGATGTTTTCTTATGTTTTTTTAACTTTCCACAGTTGTTTCTTGCATTTGAAACGTCTAGTCTTACCTAAGTTTTTTTATGTTGATTTGCTGTTAGTCTGTTTTCTGGTCTGTACCTGTTTAATGTCAATTTGCTGAAATCCTCTTCAGGTAATATATAT